CTATGTCCTCCACTAGCTGTTAGACGCTTCCCTGGTCATCAGGGTCTAGCACACAGTCATGGTGATTGCATACACATCGTACTTGCATAGGTTGTACTTTCATGGTCATACAGGGAGAGAACTGGGAAGCTGATCAGTGTCTGGCACAGTCTCTTGTTGACACTTGAGCAACTACACCCTGCTCTCTCCATCAGCTACTGGAGTCCTGAGGGTGGGGAGGGGTGTGTTTGTGTGTGTAGAAGTCTTAGATCCCTCAAAAGTCTTGACCACTGGTAAACTGAACCCTTGGAAACTTTTAGGGGTTAGAGTCACAGCTGCCACTCAGGTATTGGAGAGTGGGTTCTGGAGCTCTACAGAGCTGGCAGCCTTTATTTCACTTGGAGGTCTATAAAGTTATCACAAGTCGGTGGCCCAATGCTTAGTTCATGTCTGGGTACTCATGTGCTTTTCTGAGGCACCAGAACCCTTAAGATTCAATGAGGCATGGAGTTGGAACCTCATAGCTCGTAGAAGCCTTGGAGGCTGAGGACCAAAGTAAAATGAGAGGCCTCAGGAATTTGAGAGAAGCCCAGGCAGGTTGCTAGAAAGTCTTAAAGAAGGCTCAAAGTCCCCAGGAACCCTTTTTATTATTTTAATTTTTATGCGCACAAATGTTTGCCTGCATATATATGCACTATGTACATGCCTAGTCCCTGTGGAGGTCAGAAGACACCATCAGATTCCCTGGAATGGAAGTAACAGATAGTTATGAGCAGCCATGTATGTGCTGTGAGCTGAACCCTGTTGTGGAATATTATTTTAAGATGTGTACATTTGTTTATACTGTGGAACATTTGTTTTAATGATGCAAAGATGTGTTGTATTCTTTTATGCTACATTTGTTTAACTCTGTGAAGCTGTGATTCTTTGCCCGTCTCAAACACCTGATAGGGGGTTGAAGCAATGGCTCAGCAGTTAAGAGCACTGGCTGCTCTTCCAGAGGACTGGGGTTCAGCACCCACATGGCAGCTCACAACTGTCTGTAACTCCAGTTTTAGGGGATCCAACACCCTCACACCAATGCGCATAAAATAAAGAGAATAAATAGAAAGAGAACAACATTATAGGAAGTGGAGGAACAAGAAGAGAAGGACAGGACTCCAGGGGCCAGTCACTCAGTTACACAGCAAGCCACGGAGTAAGAAGGAAAGAAAAGATATACAGAAATAAAAAAAAAGATATACAGAAATAGAGAAAATTAAAAACCCAGACAAGAATAACGGGCTAATATAAGATGTAAAAAAGAGTTAATAAGAAGCATAAGATAAGGCCAAGCATTCATAACTAATAAGAAGTCTCCATGTCATGGTTTGGGAGCTGGTTGGTGGGTGGCCTAAAAGAAAACCTGATACACAGCTCATAACTCATCCTTCTTGGGGGAAGCATTGCACAACGGTCTCATTGAGTTGCCCAGTCTGGCCTCTACCTTGCCACCCCCATTTCCACATCTAGAATGCTGGGATTGCATGTACCATACCACCATATCTAGCTGGCTCATGTTTTTCTGCATCAATTCTTTTTCTGAGACTGTCTCCTGAACACCCTAGGCTGGACTAGGATTCACTAATATACCTGAGAATGACCTTGCAGTTCTGATTCTTATGACTTTATCTCTGGAATGTTGTGATCACCCTGTGAACCACTACACTAAGCTAATGTAGTGCTGGGGATCCAAACCAGGGCTTCATGCATACTAGGCAAGCACTCTACCAACTACATCCCCATCCTATGTTTATTTTTCCATAGCTAAGGACCAAATTTAGGTCCTTGTGCTTGCTTGGCAAGTGTTCTACCACTGAGCAAAATCCCCAACCCCTTACTTATTGTCTTAAAGAGAGATGGCTCAGAGGTTAAGAACACTGGTTTTTCTTCGAGTTCCTGAGTTCTTTCCCAGTACACAAATGGTGAGTCACCACCATCTATAATTGAATCTGATACTCTCTTGTGACATGCAGACAGAGCACTCATATATAAAAGATACAGAAATAAGCACACCTTTTTGAGACGTTTTCCCTATGTAGCTCTAGCTGTCCTGAAACTCAATAAATATGTAGATCAGGCTAATATGGAACTCAGAGTTCTGCCTGCCTCTGCCTCCTGAGTGCTGAGATTAAAGGTATGTGCCATCATGCTACTTTTTTTTTAAATAAACACACTTTTTTTTTTTTTGGTTTTTCGAGACAGGGTTTCTCTGTGGTTTTGGAGCCTGTCCTGGAACTAGCTCTTGTAGACCAGGCTGGTCTCGAACTCACAGAGATCCGCCTGCCTCTGCCTCCCGAGTGCTGGGATTAAAGGTGTGCGCCACCACCGCCCGGCTAACACACTTTTTTTGTTTTGTTTTTTTTTTTTTTGGATTTTTCAAAACAGGGTTTCTCCGTAGCTTTTGGTTCCTGTCCTGGAACTATAACACACTTTTTTTAAATAAACACACTTTTAAAAAAGTCTTGGAGCCGGGCGGTGGTGGCACACGCCTTTAATCCCAGCACTCGGGAGGCAGAGGCAGTCGGATCTCTGTGAGTTCGAGGCTAGCTTGGTCTACAAGAGCTAGTTCCAGGACAGGAACCAAAAAAAGCTACGGAGAAACCCTGTCTCGAAAAATCAAAAAAAAGGGGGCTGGAGAGATGGCTCAGTGGTTAAGAGCATCGCCTGCTCTTCCAAAGGTCCTGAGTTCAATTCCCAGCAACCACATGGTGGCTCACAACCATCTGTAATGAGGTCTGGTGCCCTCTTCTGGCCTGGAGACATACATGCAAACAGAATATTGTATACATAATAAATAAATATTTAAAAAAAAAAAAAAAAAAAAAAAAAAAAAGAAAAATCAAAAAAAAAAAAATTCTTGGAGCCGGGCGGTGGTGGCACACGCCTTTAATCTCAGCCACAGAGAAACCCTGTCTCGAAAAACCAAAAACTTCTCAATTAGTAAAAATGTTAAGCCAGGCAGTGGTGGTACATACCTTTAATTCCAACACTCAGGAGGCAGAGGCAGATGGATCTTTAAGTTTGAAGCCAGCCGGATCTACAGTAAAAGTTCCAAGACAGCCAGGGCTACACAGAAACCCTGTCTTGAGCAGGGCGGTGGTGGTGCACCCTTTAATCCCAGCACTCGGGAGGCAGAGGCAGGAGAATCTCTGTGAATTTGAGACCAAGCCTGGTCTACAAGAGCTAGTTCCAGGACTGGCTCCAAAGCTGCAGAAAAACCTTGTCTTGAAAAACAGTACAAAAAAAATTTGTATTAACAAAAGAGATGACAGGACAAATGAACTTTTAAAAATGCCAGAATCTTGGGTTTCTGGTTGATTTTTTTTTTTTTTTTGGTTTTTCGAGACAGGGTTTCTCTGTGGTTTTGGAGCCTGTCCTGGAACTAGCTCTTGTAGACCAGGCTGGTCTCGAACTCACAGAGATCCGCCTGCCTCTGCCTCCCGAGTGCTGGGATTAAAGGCGTGCGCCACCACCGCCCGGTTTCTGGTTGATTTTTATTTCATTTTTTTAAATAATTATTTTATTTTGTTCTTAGATTTATTATGTATACAGTGGTCTGCCCGTATGTATCCTTGCAGGCCAGAAGAGGGCACCAGATCTCATTCCGGATGGTTGTGAGCCACCATATGGTTGCTAGGAATTGAACTTAGGACCTCTGGAAGAATAGTCAGTGCTCTTAACCTCTGAGCCATCTCTCCAGCCCTTTATTTTTTAAATACTAAAAAGAAAATACATGCATGACTTTTGCCCTCATCTGTCTGTACATAACATGTATGTCTTTTACCCACAGAAATCAGAACAGGGTATCAGCTCCCTGGGAACTAGAGTCACAGTTTGTGAACCACCATGCGAGTGCTGGGAATTGAACCTGAGTCCTTAGGAAGAGCAACCAGTGCTCTTAACCACTAAGCATTATCTCTGCAGCCCAGGATTTGATGTTTTTTTTTAATTTTCATTTTGAGATTCTGTTCTCAAACTGTGATAAGTGGATCTTGAATTCAAAGAGATCCTCCTGTCTCTGCCTCCCAAATGTGTATCACTATCCCTGGCTAAAAACTTTTTAATATTATGTTATATCTAGCACAGAAAACCTGGAAACTTGAGCAAGAATAAACAGGCAAAGAATTAGGATACTCACAGGAACACTGTAGTCTTGAATCTACCCCCATGTCATTAAATGACCATCAATCCCAGGGGCTGAGCAACAATCCACTGGCAAGATGCCTTATTTCTTTTCTAACCTTGTAGCCTCAGATATTGGCATGAACCTCTCCTGGGTAAAATGCCTGTGTGTATCATCATACATGCAGTTTTGCCTACATTTACCATGGGCACATTTGGTTACATGGGAGTTATTTCTGTAAGTAGTTATAAGTGCTTCAGGGAGTGAGCCCAGAAATAAAACCCACAACCAAACCAGACTTTTATCTTTGGGTAGCATTTGGTCCCTTCCACAAGACCAAAGTAAAATGCACAACCAAAGGGAAAAGCCATAGTGTTCTTCGAGATCTATGATGAAACACCTGTACCACGGCTCCCCAACTCCCATCCCAGTAGGAAGAGCCAACAAAGTAAAAATAAGTGTTTTTTTTTTTATTGTGTCCACGAAAACAAAGCCAGGGTGGCTTTAGTTAACACACCCTGAAAAGGTGACAACAAACAGGCATGCATAACAACTACCACTGCCACCACCAACTTTTCCTCTAAAGAAGTGAAGTCTTATCTCCCAGAGCCCTAAGGGTCAGAGGCAATCAGGCTAGGAAGCTCCAGAGGAAGGTACCTGTGGGCCCACTGGGCTGTGGAAGGCCAGCATTTGCTGCCTCCTAGGCAGGAGGAGGTGGGAGATAAGCACTGCCCTAGGCTAGGTCCTGAACCCCTTAACTAGAACACACAAAAAGCCCCCACCGACCCCACCCCCAGCAAACACTGCTAAGGCAATTAGCCAAAACTTGTTAAGAGCTTCTCTGAAACCAATACCCTCAGGGATCCATCCAGAAAGGGTTGCCTTCTTCAGCTTGTATGGAGTAGTAAACAAAGAGCAAAAAAGCAGCAAAGACCAGGAAGAGCAATAGCTGACCCCAGAGTGGAACGTGGTGATCCTGGCCCAAAGCAGCAACAGGGGCCTGCTTTTCTGGCCTGATGGCACGTCGGGCAAGCCATGAAGTGGGAGAAGATGAAGAGGAGGACACAGAAGAGGTGGAGGATGTAGGATAATAGGATAAGCCCAGGGAGCTCCTGGAGACATTGGAAATGGGACGGTAGTGTGCGATGCTTTGGTAGGCACTGTCTCGGCCATAGATGGGGCGTTCCCTGTGGCAAAAGAAGGGAACAGGTGGGCAGGAGAGCCTGAGTCCCAAATCTGTCCCTGTCCCAATGTGTATTCACTACTCACCTATCCTTGCCCTCTTCTTCTGAAGAAGAGAAAATATCATCACGCACCTATAGGACAGTAGGGGTTAGGATCTGGGAGAAGGGTGTTTTCCCACAAATGTCTCTGGCCACCGTAGAAGCCAGACCATTGCCCCCTTTCTTCAAAACCATTCTGGTGGGTCTGTGACCTTTTTATCTGTGGGACCTTGCCACTCAATGACTATCTCTGTCAACTCTGTCCTTTTATTCCCCAATATTCTCACAAGACTTAAACCTCGATCCCAGACTAGAGTGCAGGGAATGCTAGCTACATGTACTCTGATCAAAAAAGTTTGTAAACTGCCTGATGAGTGCCTCCAGGTGAGGAACCTGACACCTTTGGCCTTTGCATGCACCAGCACTCATGTATACTACCACAGACATATAAATGTAACAAACTAATTTTTTGGTGTTTTGAGACTGAGTTTCTCTGTGTAGTCCTGGCTCTGTAGAAGAGGCTGGCCTCAAGCTCAGAGATCCACCTGCCTCTGCCTCTCAAATGCTGGGATTAAAGGTGTGCGCCACCACTGCCCAGCAAAGTAATTAAATCTTAAAAGAAAGCCCAAAACGTAAAAACAGTTTGTGTACTGGTGGAGAGGGAACCATAGGTAAGTGATACTCCACTGAGCTTCATGTCCACCCCCAAATCAATAGTTTTGGAGGCCCCAAAGTAGAACTTTTGACCCAACAGCTATATGCCGACCCTAGCTCTGTTTAAAGGCTTAAGGACCACTCTCTGCACCTAATATCTCCTTGGACTTTTCCAGAACTAGCTAGTTTCCAGAACTAGCTAGGATCCCCCCTCAGACTACACCCAGGTATGCTTGCCAGCCAACTCACCTGGTGATGAAAGGCGTGAGTATCTGCCAGTGAGGTCCCCGGCTGGCGGAAGCTCTTGGACATGCCCACAGACTCGGGCTCCCCATATGTCCTGGTAGTCAAATAACTCTCCTCATAGTAGTCGTCATTATAGTCTTGGGAAGGAAAACAGTGGTAGAGGAGAAAGTGGTGTTCCTTACCTGGCCTCATAGCCCCAAATTCTGTGTATGTGCTGTCCTAGTTTCTCCACTTTAGAGCCACTGAGAACTAGTATGAGGGAGTGAAATCTGACGATTTTTTTAAATTTATTTATTATGTATACATATTCTGTCTGCGTGTATGTCTGCAGGCCAGAAGAGGGCACCAGACCTCATTACAGATGGTTGTGAGCCACCATGTGGTTACTGGGAATTGAACTCAGGACCTTTGGAAGAGCAGGCAATGCTCTTAACCACTGAGCCATCTCTCCAGCCCAAATCTGACGATTTTTAATGTGCCCAAATCCCTGAAGTACGGGGTAAACACATCAGTGCCCACCCCACACCTGTCTTACCCTTGCTCTGGTAAAGTAAGGCGTCCTCTTTTCTGGGCAGATCGTACATGTCTGAGTCCACTGAGGCTGAATCCAAGTCTGCATTAAGGGGGAGGTACAGACCATTAGCTCTTCAGGCTTCCCCCTACTTCCTCCGTTGCTTCAACCAAACCCTCCCTTCCCAAGCCTTGTGCCCCCCAAGCAGCTCAACGGGGCTCTACGGCGGGGGCCTCACCTGAGAATCGATAGGAGAATGAAGATGATGATGAGTTGGGGGGCGAGAGCCTCCGTCTCTGGGTCTCATACTCAAAGATTTTCTTTTCGTAGAGCTTGCGAGTGGAGCCTGGCCAGACACAAGGTGTGAGGCGGTCAGGGGGTGCGAGGCGAGCACCCCGAGAGCGCCGGGATACACGGGGAGGGGACGAGGAGGTGAGGAAGAACGCTCTGGGAGGAGCACAGGAAAGCGGGGCCTAGGAGAGGTTCTGCGCGCCACCGGCTGCCGCATACCCACGATAGGCCCATGCGGGATGTTGTACTGGCGTAGGACGGCGGCCAGCTCAGTGTCAGACAAAACCGCATAGTCGTCCATGGCAGACACGACCGGAACTGGGAGACGGTGTCGAACGTAGGGGGCAGCCCAGGCCTACGAACACAGCCCAAAAAGACAGCTCCCTGCGCGGTAGAGGAAGCGCCAGTGCCTCAGAAGCGACTGTGGTCGCGTCATGCCTCCGTCACATTTGTGTCACGGTCGCGGCTACGCGGATTGCGCGCGCTGCTCAAGGCAGGATCAAACCCGCCAGAGTGGCCGGTACAAACCGGTCTGGCAGAGGGAACAGGCGGGGCTGGCGAGCGGAAACATCACACTTGTGTGGGATTGGCTAGAACAGGAAGTGGGCGGGGCCTGCCGGAGAGCCCAAGGGGCAACTAAGGAGAGTAGCTGTGGGAACCCGGCTGCTGAGGGGCGGGGTTAGATGGCTTCATTAGAGCATGTGTTAGAGCTAGACCTACTAGAGGAGTGGGAAGTGCTTGTTCCCAGCTGGCCAAAACCAGCCTGTGGTTGGGAGACTGTGGGATCTCACATACCTTTATCACTGATCTTGTTCCTCAGTGCTCTAGCGCCCAAGGTCCTCGGCTGCAGTCTGGTCCACAGCAATGCGAAGAGTCCAGTCCTAAGAGCGAACCCTTCCAGAGCGCCTGGTGATGCTGCGAGCTCTTTGTGTTATGCGCACTGGTGCCGAGAAATGGCTGCCATTCAGTGCTCTCATCACCTAACGTAGCCACCCGCAGACCCCTGGTCCACCCCACCTGTCTCCGCTGGTCTTTCCAGTCTCCATGGTCCTGGCCTGCGCATCTGCACCAGCCCATTCCCACCTTCTTCTTTTATGGCCCCTAGTTCCATCCGGAAGGAAATGGGGGCAAACAGCTGAGCCAGGAGGCTGCCAGCACTGCAGGACCAAGCAGTCTTCCAAAGGCCCAGGGCATGCCAATGGGCAAAATCCGAGGGCACCCGCCTTGTGATGCCTCTAGCCCGGCACACCTCGTGCCTGCCTAACTCACAGTTCCATCCTCCTGGGGCCCTGAGGAATTCTGGAGGAGAGTTCTCGAGTGGCAGAGTAGAATAGCCCCCAAAGTTTGCTATGATCTTGGAGGCCATCCGGGTACAAACCATGGGAATTGGCTGAGATTAAAGGCGTGTGCCACCACCGCCCGGCTCCAAGAATTTTTTTTTTTTTGATTTTTCGAGACAGGGTTTCTCCGTAGCTTTTTTTGGTTCCTGTCCTGGAACTAGCTCTTGTAGACCAGGCTGGTCTCGAACTCACAGAGATCCGCCTGCCTCTGCCTCCCGAGTGCTGGGATTAAAGGCGTGCGCCACCACCGCCCGGCTAACACACTTTTTTTGTTTTGTTTTTTTTGGATTTTTCAAAACAGGGTTTCTCCGTAGCTTTTGGTTCCTGTCCTGGAACTATAACACACTTTTTTTAAATAAACACACTTTTAAAAAAGTCTTGGAGCCCATTCAGAGGCTGCTTCATGAATTTTTTTTTTTAGTTTTGGCAAAATCAGATTTCCCAGCATCCCCCCCCACCCCGTGCTGGCCCCTCTCCCAGAGGCCTCTGCATACAGAGTGATTGCTCAGTACTCCCCTATGCCCCCCCCATACAGAATCAAGCTGCTTCCTTATGAGGTCAAGGAATTTTAGGTTTGCCTTCTCCCTAAGGAGCACCCTCTGCACCTGCCTCAGCATTCTGCCTCTTAATCCCCCCACTACCCCACTATAAAATCCAATCACAGATGTTACCGGGAAACTGAACTGTGGTTTTCTTGCACACACCTGGAGCTTAAGTCTAGCCCCTTTGCAGTGTAGCTTCCTTCTCTGTCATTCAGCAGAAGAGTCAAGACACCAGAGTCGAAAGAGGTTTTTGCAATAGTCCCGAGTTGAGTGATTCATGTAAATAGTTTCCCCAAGAAGTACCTCAGCCAGAATTTGTCAGAGGGACTAGAAGGATGTGTGCAAGGCATTCTGTGAGTATCTGGAAAGTTCTTCCTGGGAAGGAGTAGCCATTGGCAGGTGTGGCTAATGAGGGAAAATCTTGAAAGTGTCCTATTCTAAGAATAAGAAAATTATTGGTCTTGAAATCCCACTCAGCACTTAGGACTCTGATGCTTGAGAATTGAAAGTTCAAGGCCTGCCTGAGCTACAGGGTGAATTCAAAGCCACCTAGGTAACATAATAACACCCTGTCTCAAAACCAAAAGAAAACTGGGGCCGGGCGATGGTGGCGCACGCCTTTAATCCCAGCACTCGGGAGGCAGAGGTAGGCGGATCTCTGTGAGTTCGAGACCAGCCTGGTCTACAGAGCGAGTTCCAGGACAGGCTCCAAAGCCACAGAGAAACCCTGTCTCAAAAAAAAAAAAAAAGAAAGAAAACTGGGGAGCTGGGCGGTGGTGGCTCACGCCTTTAATCCCAGCACTCGGGAGGCAGGGGCAGGTGGATCTCTGTGAGTTCGAGGCCAGCCTGGTCTATAAGAGCTAGTTCCAGGACAGCTAGGACTGTTACACAGAGAAACCCTGTCTCAAAAAAAAAAAAGAAAGAAAGAATGGGAGCTTGGGACTTGGGATGTAGTTATCTTGATAGTAGATTACTTGGCTAGCATGCATTAAATTCTGGGTTCAATCTGGACCCCACCCCCATTGTAAAGAAAAGTTTACATGAAAACATTTATTTAACACAGGAAGAAAATGTTTTTTATTTGTTTCCTTTTTTGTTTGTTTTTCAAGACAGGGTTTCTCTGTAGCTTTGGAGCCTGTCCTGGAACTAGCTCTGTAGACCAGTCTGGCCTCAAACTCACAAAGATCTGCCTGCTTCTGCCTCGCGAGTGCTGGAATTAAAGCTGTGTGCACCACCGCCAGGCTTGTTTTGTTTTTTTGAGACAGGGTTTCTCTGTGTATTCACCACTGACCAGCAAGAAAATTGAGTGTTTGTGCACTGGCAGGGACAGTAAACAGAGTTCAAATGTGGTGTGTGTGTGTGTGTGTGTGTGTGTGTGTGTGTGTGTGAAATGCAGCTACACACTCACTACCTCCCCCATGCACTTTCCATCTACCTATCCAGTGATCTGATTACCATGCATGTTGGAAAAAGGGTTTCTCTCTGGAAAAGAAATTTTTTACATCAACTCTAAGCTTCCTCATGAACCTGAAATCAAGCCACTAATTTAGCATATGATGATAATCCATTGACTTCCCTAGCAGAGGTCTCCTGCTGGACAGTACAGTGAGAGACCTTGGTCCTATTAAGAGTCCAGAATGTGAAATTTCATTGCCAGTAGAGCCAGCAAAGGTAGCAATGGATGCATCATACTTGAAGGGCGCCCCAGCACTTTGCTATTCAAGTTAAACTATAGATTACTGAATTGATTTCGCAGATGTGATCAAACTCTCCCTCACTGTTCTTTCCTATTCCTTCTTTCCTCCCTTTCTCTTCTTTCCTCCCTTCTATCTTTTTCTTCCTCCCTTTTATCTTATTATGTAGTATATGCAACCTTCTCTTTTTGATAATATAGAGTAGGAAAACAAATCAATTAGGCCTGTTATTCCAGCACTTGGAAGGCAGAAATAGGGGGATTGCCACTTTAAAGCTCAGTCTGGGTGCTACATAGTGATTTCCAGATCAGCCTGAGCTACAGAGTGAGACTTAGTCTACACACACACACACACACACACACACACAGACACACACAGACACACACACCCCAGAATATATTATAGGTGGTAAGGAAATTTTCATTTGCAACATCTATTTCAATTTTGTGTGTATGTGTACACACTGGCATGATACAAATGTATCTCATATTGGGGTTGCAGGCAAAATGGTAAAACAAAATGTTTAAAAAATGACATCATTGCTTTAATGTATCCTTTCCCTAGAAAGTGACATTTGAGTTGAATCTAAAGCTACCAGGAAATGGGCACATAGAAGAGGCAGAGAAAGCTTGACAATATTAGGTAATGGCTGTGCCCACCAAGTTCACATATACTTGACACTTTGTACCACACTGCACACTCCCAGGTTTTGAGACTGCACCTGATTGCTTTAAGAATTCAATGTATTTCTACTGTTTGCTCCCATGCAACATCTGTACCTAGAACAGACAAAATCAATGATAGTTGGGGGTGGGGCGGAGTTGTTCATTACAGGGCTCAGGACCCATTGGGGCCTCAGGAATGACTGGTGCTCACTACAATTACCTGTTGCATCTCTCTTTCCTCGGAACAAGACCTGACCTGTGCGGCCAACCCAGGCTTGGGCAGAGACAGAAGGCTGTGACTGTGGACAACTCCCCAGAATAGGTGGCCTTGGAGCAGAGCCTCCTTTCCAGCCAGTAAGCACTTGACTCCCCTATACTCATCTAGCCTATTAAAGGTTGGGCCTAAACATAGGTTTTGCAGACCTCGCTCTGGAGGTGAGCCCCCTTCCCTGGAAGCCTGGCGGCCCTCATAGAGCGGTGAGCTCATTCTGGAGGGCGGTGTCGTCAGTCAGCTGGGGCACTTGAGCTCGTGGCGCGCCCCCGCATCCCCTCCCCGCCCCCGGCTCCCGGGCGATTTTACCAATTAAGGCTTTCTTGCCGGGCCGGCTCGGCCGGGCCCCGCGCGGGGCGGACGTGGGGCGGGGATGCAGCCAACAAGAAGGCGGGCGGCAGCGGCTCATTCGCGTGGAGGCGCGCGGCGCGCAGCGGACACCAGCAGAACTCCGAGGCATCCGGCTCGAGGGTGAAGAGCTGGGCGCCACCCCGCGGTTGCAGGGACAGCAGGTGAGGGTTCCGTGGCCAGCTCCATGCTGGATAGTCGTCGGATAGTGGGTGCGCTGCTCGCGAGCTGGGGAGAGGTCTGGAAAGCAGGCAGAAAGGCCAAGGCCAGGTGCAGCTTAGGTGTGGACTCAGGTCACAGGCATCGCGTTAGTGTCCAGAGGTAGCCTTGCATAGTTTACCACACACAAACTTATGTCTGTGCTCAGGAATCTGGGAGCTTGGGGTCATGGGAGTCTCTGAATAGGGGACTGGTATCTGAGTGTGTGGCAGGAGATGGGTGCAGGTGTGGGTACCCATAAACTGGTCATTGCGTGGCTATCTGGGAAAGAAAGGTCTTTTGAGATTAGTACCTTGATTGGGATAAGGGTGAGTGGAAACTTGGAAGGACACTTTTCAGCCAATGCCAA